AGTAAAATGTTGAAGAGAAGATGCTTTCAAGATTGTATCATAATTATGAGGTTTGCTGTCAGTTTTTGATCAGGTTAAGAAAGTTGTCTTCTCTTTCTATTTTGTCAGAACTTTATGATGGGTGTGAAATTTTATCCAACATTTTTTTCTTCATCAGTTCAGATGGGCATGATTTTTCTCCTTTAATTCTGTTAATGTGAAGAATTATGTGAATTGATTTTCCAAGGTTAAAACAAGTTTGTATTCCTGAGATAAATCCTGTGCAGTCTTGGTGTATTAATTATTTTATTTTTTGATGAAATGGGTTTGCTAATATTTTGGTTTAGATGTTTGTATCTATGTTAATGAATGAGATTGGCCTATAATTTTCCTTTCTCAAACTTTCCTTATGGGTTCTATATCAAATTGTGCCTCATAAATAAATTAGGAAGTATTCCTTTTTTAACTTTTCTTGAAGAGTCTGTGTATTATTGGATTTATTTATTTCTACAGGATTTTGTAGAACCTTCTGGGCTAATGTGTGACTGTACAAATTTTAAATTATTGACTCAATGTATTTAATGTTTATAGGCCATTTAGGTTTCCTTTCTTCATTATTAAAAACTTACTTCTTTGGGGCCAGCTCCGTGGCTGAGTGGTTACGTTCACACACTGCTCTTCGGTGGCCCGGGGTTTGGCTGGTTGGGATCCTGGGCGCAGACATGGCACTGCTCGTCAGGCTATGCTGAGGCGGCGTCCCACATGCAACAACTAGAAGGACCCATAACTAAAATATACAGCTACGTACCAGGGGTATTTGGGGAGAAAAAGCAGGGGGGAAAAAAAAGATTAGCAACAGTTGTTAGCTCAGGTGCCAATCTTTAAAAAAAAAATTACTTCTTTAAAATTTCCTCTTATTACTTTTTATGCATCTATAGTATATGCATTATTGCCCCATTTTTCATTACTTATATTGGTTATTTCTGCCTTCTTTTTTTAGTGACTTTCACTAGATATTTGAAAATTTTATCAGTTTTCTCAAATAAATAACTTTTGGTTTTGTTGATTCTCTTGTATTTGTTTCTACTTAATTTTTTTCTTCATTATTTCTAAATTTATTTTTTGTTGATTTTTGTAGTTCTTAATATTCAGCCCTTCTTCTTTTCTAATATTTAGCATTTAAGGCTATAAATTTTTCTATGAGTATCACTTTAGCTTCATACACACACATATATGTTCTTATAATCTGAGTTCTAAATATTTTCTAATTTCCATTATGATTTTTCCTTTGATCCACAAGTTAGGCCTATATGTGTCTTAATTGTAAACCCGTGGGGATTTTCCAGGTTCCTTATTGTTTGTGTCTAACTTAACTGCATTGTGATCAGAAAATGTGGACAGCATGATACAATACTTTGAAACATCTTGAGGCTTGCTTTACAGCCTAGAACTTAATCAGTTTTTATAAATGTTCCACATTGCTTCAAAACAATACATTCTGCATTTGTTAGGTTCATTGTTTCATACACGACCATTAAATAAAGCTAATTTATTATACGTGTAACTTTGCTAGGGCTGCCATAACAAAGTACCATAGACTGGCTTGACTGAACAATAGAAATGTATTCTTTCACAATTCTGAAGGTTAGAAGTCAAAGATCAAAGTGTCACAGGGTTGGTTTCCTCTGAGGCCTCTCTTCTTGGCATGACGATGGCCATTTTCTCCTTGTGCCTTCACATGGTCTTCTCTCTGTGCGTCTATGTCCTAACATCCTTTTCTCCTGTACACACCACTCATATAGGATTAAGGCCCACCCTGGGGACCTCATTTCAACTTAATTACCTCTTTAAAGACCCTCTCTCCAAATGCATCACATTCTGAGGTGCTGGGGGTTAGAACTTCAACATATGAATTTAGGGGAAGGGTGGACACAAGTTAGTCCACAACATCATACTTTTCAAATTCTTTATATCCTTAAAGATTTTTTTGCTTGCTTCATCAGTCCATTCCTGGGACAAGCATTCAAATCTTCCACTGTGATGATGGATTCTTCTATTTCTCTATAAAGTTCTGTCAATTTTTGCTTCATATATTTTGAGGCTATGTTATTAGTGTATGTACGTTTAAAATTTTTATAGCTACTTGGTGAATTGAATATTTTATTATTATGTAGTTACCCTTTAGTTCTAGCAATGCTTTTTGTCATATTTTATTTTGTTAAAATGTAGTTATAGTAGCTTTCTTTTTGTTAGTGTTTGTGTGGTAAATGTTTCCATCTTTTTATTCTCAACTTTTTTTGTCCTTATGTTTTTTTAATGTGTCTTTTATAAAGAGCATATAGTTTAAATGGAGTATTAAGTCCATCTGTATTTATTATAATTAATGATATATTTTGATTATTTTCTACTAACTTCATCTTGTGTGAGAGACAGTATAGCATAGTCTTCAAGAGAACGGACTCTAAGAAATATTGCCTAGGTTTGAATACTAGCTCTGTTACTTACTATCTGTGTAACTCAGGCTAGTTACTTAAAACACTCTGTGCTTCAGTTTCCTCATCTGCAAAATGGCTATAATAATAACCCTACCTTGAAGTGCTGCTATTAAGGGAGTTAACATACATAAAGTGCTAACAGTGCTAGGCACATAATAAGCACTATATACATGCTTTCTATTAATATTTTATTATTATAATTATAACTTTAAATTGATGTGTTTTTTCTGTTTCTCTTTTCTTTCCCTTTTTTATTTCTTTTGTATTGATAGATATTTTTTTTCATATTCCATATCTTTCCTTCCTCCAGTTTGGAAATTATATTCTCTGTTCTATTCTTTTAGGGTTACCCTAGACATTTATCAAGCATACTTGTCAAAGTTTAAAGTTAATTCTTATCTTTAGCCCCTCCTGAACAATACAAGAACTTTATAACACTTTAACTCTGGACACCTCCTTTCTCATTTATACACTATTGTTGTATTCCAGTTTTAGCTTAATTATAAGCCTCATAACTTATTATTATTGCTTTATATAGTCAATAATCATTTACCTTTACTCACATACCTACCATTTTCTTTACTAATCCTTCCTTTTCCATTTTTTTTTTTTTAAAGATTGGCACCTGAGCTAACAACTGTTCCCAATCTCTCTCTCTTTTTTTTTTGTTTGCTTTTTCTCCCCAAATTCTCCCAGTACCTAGTTGTATATATTTTTTTTAGTTGCGGGGGTTCCAGTTGTGGCATGTGGGATGCTGCCTCAAGATGGCCTGATGAGCAGTGCCATGTCCATGCCCAGGATCTGAACTGGTGAAACCCTGGACTGCCGAAGAGGAGTGGGTGAACTTAACAACTCAGCCACGGGGCTGGGCCCCCTAATCCTTCCTTTTTACAGCACAAATTTTCCATTTGGTAACACTTTCTTTCTGCCGAATTACATCTTTTTAATTGGGTCTGCCAGTGGCATAATTTGTTTTTATTGTCTGAAAATACATTTCACGCTTTAAAAAAAAAGAAACATAACGATAAGAGGGTTTGTCAACAAATTTAGATTGATAGATATCTTTTTTTAACATACTAAAAATATAATTCCATATTTTTATATGGAAGCAAATATGGCTTCCATATTTGCTATTGAGAAGTATGACTGCTTTTAAAACCATTGTCTTTGGTGTTCTTCAATGTCACCAAGATGTTTTAAATATGAGTTTCTCTTTAGTTTATCCTGGCTGGTTCCTAAACCTGTGGATTTGTGTCTTTCCAGGGAATTTGCAGTCATTAAATCTTCAAATATTTCTTTTAATCTTCTTTTCATTTCTTTATGAAAGTTTTATTAGATATAAGTTAGACTTTATCACTCTATTCTTTATGTCTTTTAACCTCTTTCGTATTTTATTTCTTTATTTCTCTGTTACTTTCTTATTAATCTCCTCATATCTGTCTTCAATTTCACTAATTCTCTCATTAGCTGTTAAACTCATCCATCATGTTTTTAAATTTTCATATATTTTAATTTCTAGAAGTTTTTTTTTTATTAATTTCAAAATGAATTTGCTCATTCAAAAAAAAATTTAATTCTTTTTTAAATCTGTATCTGATACGTGAAAGACTTGAAGACTTTCCGGGTCTGATTTGGCCATCCGTTGTTTCAGTTGGCTCTTACTCTGTGTGCATTGTTTCTGTGTGTACTCTTTTCCTCCCTTCTTCTCAATCTCTCTCTTTCCTATCTATTTATTTTTACTATGAGTTCATGTTTACTGCAATTTTTGTAGTGTTTTTTTTTTTTTTTGAGGCCTGCATTGAAGGTGGGGCCATTCACTTCTGTTATGTCTTTGGGAATATATCTTGTACAGGACAATTTTAAACTAAATTATCAGCTTGATATTTCTTAGAACATCAGGTATTATAAATTTGGCCTGCCAATATGTGTGCCCACTGTCTTGCCATTAAACATTTTTAGGGCAGCTCTTTCCTCCCTCAACACAGCACCAAGACTCAAAACTAACAATTTAAATGCAGAGTTAGGGGTATGGAGATTTAGAGAGTGCATAACCATTTTTGGTGTTAGCTTTATGTGGGGAGTTTCCTATCAGACTCTTCACCTAAGCAAGCTCTGAGTTTTTACCTCTCTCCCAACAGGGCCATATATGCAATTGTGCACTGTACAACTCTAGGGGGAAGTTTTCATATAGATATACAGTAGAGCTTATATGACATATGTGGTGGCCCTGTCCTCATCCCCTCAAGATGGTGAAAACTAAAGCTTAAGTTCACCAGGTTCAGCAACTGCCTCAAGGTGAAAGCTGGGTTCGGTGCTTTGGTTTTATAATTCTATAACTGATAGAAGTTAAATGAAGAGTAAAGACATGTCTCCTCCCTTTTGAAGTCTTTTAAAGGGCAAGCAGCCTCAATATCTTATGAATTGATTTGCCACTCATCATTTAACAAAAATATCCATCACTTGCCCCATTAAAGGAAATGTAACATGATATGAGGGTGTTTACTGCTTTGCTTTGCTTATTTTTAGATGTGGACTTTCCAGTTGTTCTCCAGCCTACAAATGCAAATGAGAAAACACAGCTAATCAGAGAAGAACCTCGAAGTTATTGCACAGACTCTTAATATTGAGCCCATTGAGGGTCCACCGTACCTCCTCTTGGTTCAGCCATGTCTCCAGGTGGTTATAGGGGGAGGGTAGGTAGCATGAAATGCTGTGAACTTTTCCACATTTGTATTTAACTCTTAGGTTAGGGAATATGATTGCTACATAATTTTCTCAGTATGCAGTCTCACTCTGAGTAGAATTACTAATGAAGCACATTCCATTTTGATGAATAAAGGCTTGAAGAGTTGTTTTATGCTCCTTGCATGAGGTAAGACAATGGCATTGGGCAGGCGTTATGAGCCTCCCTTTGTGTGAGCCAGACCTCATTCCTTACAGCCTAAAGAAGTATTCCAAACAGAAACCACTAGTCATCTATTTAACTAAATGCAATATTCATACTTCCCACAAATATCATCAGCAAAATACATATGAGAATTTAGGAGGAATTGTGTGTGCGTGATTTTTCCCTGTCAGTATTCATTATGGTTACAGAAATATTTCAAGAGACAGGAAGAAATGATTAGGTAAAAAGACAAATCACATTATTTTAAAGTATCTTTTTGAAAGATTAAAAATTGTCATTTACTGAAAACTGACAAGTAAAACTAGGAGGAAACAGGTTTTGTGTGTACTGTTAGACTGCTATAAAAACAATAACTAAAACAAAACTTCAACCTGGCTAAATGTTATAAATGATCCAGAAAATCATTCTGAGCCCAAACCAGCCCTAAGAAATGTGCTGACCATTTTTAAGTAAAAGTAATTTTTGTACAACTAGCCTAGATTAGACAGACTAAGGAAAAGAAACACAGGAAGTAAAGGGTAGAATTCTAAATTTTATAGCCTAAGTTTAAATTTAAAGGCATATTACTTACCTCATTTTTGGTGGGATAATTATATTGACCAGAAAATGCTTAGCTCTGTGCATGTTAAACACTGAAGCTCAGAGGCCATCCCTGCATGTAATTGTTTGATCCTTATATCCATCATGTGTTCCAAACCATGTGCTATTTATAAAATAGTACAGCAGCAAACGTGTTTGTTTTTTCTAGGTCTTTCTTAGTTCTTATGTAATACTGCATTTTTGAAGACCTTGTTATGTTTTTATATAATATTGCATGAAATGTCATTTTCTTTTTTCTTTTTTTCTTATTCCCCACTACTACCAAATTAAAGTCAATGGAGGCTAAATAAACATTGTAAGTGAGAATTGGTGTTATACCACTGGCAGTTCTAAAGTCATTAAAACTCTACTCTAAGTCATGAATTCCTGGAATTTCTTTTTAATTGACATAAGTAGAAAAGCTCTGGGTTGAAAGTTAAGAAACCTGGTTCTAATCTATGCTTTTACTACCTAGTCCTGTGACCAAATGAGATGAGAGTAATATGGCTAATCACTCTATGACTATTTTCATACCTGTCCTAACCCCTTCCGAATTGCTGTGAGACCTGATAAAATAGCTGAGGTGAAGGAACTCTGAAAAGTCAAGTTTTGAACAAATATAAGGTGGTTTTACATGAGTTTGCATACGTTGATACACACAGACAAATGTGATGTGACTTGTTATGTATATAAATTCTTTCACCCACTAAGACCTATGAAGATACCCAGTATTATCAGCCCAGGTGACCAGCAGTGCTTGGAACTCTGTATTCAACAAACAAGTGCTACTTTCTGTTTGAAAGGAACAGTGAGATAAATAGTCCTGTCTGGGGGCATTTGAGCCACTACATTTCCTTTCTGAGGTCTCTTTTTCTTTTTCTTTCTCACATGGAACTTTTTACTTCCACTCCCAGTTTGCCCAGAGAGCTGGTACAAGACTGGTTAAGATAAGAACAGGGCATGAATCAGAATCAGTATCAGACAATGGAATTAAATTCCTAGAGGGGTTCTGGCCAATGTTCCCCACAAAAGGCTAGTTTCTGGTTACAGTGATGTGTGGTAAATACAAGCAAGTGAATACCTATGAATGAGGAAATGAATTCTACAGAATGCCCCTTAGCTACATAGAATCAAGGATCAACTCTTCATCTGAGGAGGGGCCACTGAAGCATCTTGTGGGGGTCAACAGGAGCTGCCATCTGGCATCAGCTGCAGTTATTCTGAATCCATAAGCATCTTAGCAGAGAAGCATCAGGGAAGGAAGGGACAAGCTGACCATGATCCTCAGCAATGGTTGCATGGCCTTGATTCATGCAGGGTCAAATGAACTGCCCATTTCAGTGGCTCATGACCTAATCCTGGGCTCCAGGCTACCAGAGGAGGGGATTTCATATAAGGTTTCATGCGTCATCCATTTATTTTTTTGCTATCTTACATTAGAACATAACAAAAACATATATATGCATTTTTCTTTACCAAAATATACATATCTTAATTCTTTGAGAATAAATGACATTCTATTTCCATTTTTCAAATGGTATGTTTGCTAAAACACATTTGACACGGCCTAGCCTTGAAATACACTCCCCTGGCAATGCACTACCTGATCTTTGGACCACTTAAAGGCTATACGATCTCTGTGGTTGGCACAATAATGGCCCTCCAAGATGTGCATGTGCTACTTCCCAGAATCAGTGAATATAGCACCTTTCATGGCAAAAGGGACTCTGTAGACGTGATTGTTAAAGACCTTGAGATAGGAAGATTATCCTGGATTATCCAAGTGGACCCAATCTAATCACCTGAGTCCTTAGAATCAAAAACCTTTCCTGGCAACAGAGAGAGAGAGATGAGACTACAGAAGAATGGTCAGAGATATGCTTTGAAGGTAAAGGAAGAAGAGGGTCAGGAGCCAAGGTATGCAGGCAACCTCTAATAGCTGGAAAACTCAAGGAAATAGATTCTCCTCTAGAGCCTTCAGAAAGAAACACAGCCCTACCGCCACCTTAATTTTCATCCAGTGACACCTGTGTCAAACTTCTCAGCTCCAAACCTGTATGAGTTTAACATTGAATCCGTGCTCTGTACTTGTTTCCTCAATGTCCTTCCTCCTTATTCTATATTTCTTCTTTTCACTTTTCCATCCTGCGTCTCTTTAACTTCATCTTCTCCTTTGTCCCTTCTCTTCCCTGTTTCTCAGTGTTCCGTCTCCTTCCCTGTCCTTCTCCCCTCTCTCACTTCCACCTTCTTTCCTTATAACTCTCATTTCTCTTAGTCTCCTAATCTCTCTGCTCACTACTGTCAACTCTCAACCTTCACATTTACTGGTCTTTTAGATAAACTGAACTATTGTGAATGTACCCCAACCAGCAGCGGAGGGAGAGATAGGAAATAGTCTGGGTAACAGAATATTCTTAAAGGAATGTCTTTCCCCCCGTAACTTCAAGCACAATTAATCACAATGTTAATAGGTAAAGGGGGAATAAAAGTATTTTTCAAGCAGTTCTCTGAGTGTATTGACAAATAGAAATCACTTAGAGCGACTACATTCATGATCTGAAGGAATGGCAAGGTCATTCATTGACACATTAATTTTGTTTTGCCCTTAGTGCTTTAGGGGACTCAAAGGAATGAGGGCGCCCCTCTTCTGAGTTTCATCTTTAAAAGTTCACTCTCTTGCTACCACAGCCTTAGAGGTTAAAAACAAAGGTAGTCAGACACCTGGAAAACAACCATCCCGGCTTTTGTTTGGGAGCTTGGGCTGGTAGAAAGGTGCATGCTGAAACCTGAGGAAGGGAAGTAACCCCATCATGAGGGGCCTCTAGACGAAAGATGGGTTTGGGGATTTTGGGGGGAGTTCCCAGAGTAGCCCAGACTTGTGTCCTCACAGAGGAGAGCCCCTATGATGAGACAACACTTGGATGCCCAGGTGACAAAATTAAGTCATGTCTTCGTAGCCATAACAAAAGATTCCTGTGCCCACATCTGGCCTCTCAAAGGAGCCATGCAGGGTTGGACACTGGACCTCAGAAGCAACGAAGCTGAAGCCAGATGAGGGGCTCAGAATCCCCTGGAGGATGAAGACATAAACCCCAGTAGAGCCCTTGCATCCCTGGGAAGGAGAGGAACTCTTTTAAGACCTGGCTGAGGGGAAATGTCTCACTACCCTGTTAAACTGCAGCTCTGGGCCAGAGGTAGATCAACTTAAAACATATAAGGCATTTAGAGCATGAAGAGACTCCCCCAGATCTTTTCTCAGCTGTCACTGCTCCGTAGGCTTTCTCAGCCACCCAGCCTGGGACTGGAACATCCCCTCTTCACTCTTCTATTCCCTTCTGCACTTTTTCTCCTTAGGACTTCTCATAACAAACTTTTAATCTCAATGCTTGTCTGTCTGCCAGACCACAAGACCAAAGATTTTTGTCTGTTTTTGTGTCTTCCTGAATCTCTAGCACTTAAAACAGTGCCTGACACAGGGTAGATGGTTGGGGAATATTTGTTAAATGAGTAAATGTTTAACCTGTTGTAGAATAGACAAATTCCTACCTGCTAGAAACTCAAAAGCTGCTAAAATCCTTAGTTTTTAATGAGACTTAGCATAAAATTAACTAAGCATTAAATTAATACAAATATTAATATGTCAGCTTGGGTGCCCAACCAAACCTCTAATCCAATTACAGAGTTGTCTTTCTAAAAACTTTCAGTAGCCTGCCCCCCCTTACTTCTCATTGATATGAAGGCAAATGTCCATTTCCAGGGCACCAGTCCTTCTCCAAGCAGAGAAAAACCTTTATTCAAGCAACACAAGTCCTCCTCTCCAAAAGCCCTCTTTTTCCAGCCTGCAGCCCCCCTAAGCACCCAAGTCACACTCCTCTTCATATTACTCCTGAGCAGTTCTAGACCACAAAGCGCCAGAGATTTAGATTAAGTTGTGAATAACCAGTTTCTGTAAAACAAATCCATTTCCAAACTGTAGATGGCTCAAATTAGCAGCGATTTCCAGAATTACATCTTAGAGTCAGAGTTTACACAGCGCTAAATATTTTGCACAGTGCTGAAAACGAAGTAGGAAACTAACAAATCCCTGTTGATTAATTGTTTAAATCTCACAATCTATGCCATTTCTGAGAAAAGCCTTTCTCCAAAAGGAGTCCTAAACATGCTCAGGGCCAAATAAACGGGTAAGTGTGATAGGCTTTCTGGAATTTTCATGCCCTTCCAGGGCTGCCCCAAGAAACAAAACTAAATTTCTAGAATCAAATCAGCAGTAATCAGACAGCTGTTAACATATTCTGCTCACCACTGGGCTGCCACCTGAGCTTTCTAATAGCTGAAAATCCGATTATCAGCTTCTCCAGGGCCTGAGAGCGCCCGAGGTATGTCCTTGTTCCCAGGGCCAGGAAGAGGGGATCTTACCTAAGGAGTTTTTTCCTTTTACTTCCAGGTAATCTTCTCTGGTACCCAAACATCTCCACTCCTGAGATGTCCAGATTCATCTCTTCTCAGTTTCATCTATAATATACTTCTTTTCCTGGTGAAGAATAATTGGAAATTTTTTAGTGCAGATTTTCACTTTGAGAATGAAATTCCAATATTTTCTTAAATTTTTTAAAATGATCTATTTGGGCATGTGTATATACTATTTACTAAACAGTCAGTTTTCAGGATTATTATAACTGCAGGAAGCAATATTTTAAAGCTAACCTCAGTTTAAAAGTAACGAATGAAAGCCATCAGGCAATGAAAAATAGTATGTCTATATATTAACTTCTTAGTATAACAGTTGTATATAAAATGCCTTTATTTCAAGTTTCTTTATCGTATTTCCATGGAATTTATTTTTTAAACTCACTATAGAGCATACTAGGAAACTTAATTTTTAGCTACCCAAACCTAAAAGATATATATTATTCTGAGTAAGAGGGTAAAGTGTTAACAGAAAATAAAAATGGTTCACTTCCCTGCTTACATTCTACTTTTGTTAGTTCCCTCTCATACCTCTTCTCAGCACATCCCATCCCCTAAACTAAAGGATTTGGAGGGAAGTAGGAAGTGTTGGTTTTTAGGATCACAGGTGCATTTGTATTTGAAAAAGATGATTTATTCTTTCATAAATTAAAATAAATCCGTCAAATGAACAATAATGACCAATAGTCATAGTGCTTAGTAGCTGACACTGCCAGAAGGGCTTTATATTAGCTTTACAAATTTTATATCTTCACTTACTACTCACGACCAGGTATGGGACAAGTACTATCAGCATTATCGTTCCCCATTTTTCAGACTAAGAAACTAAAACACAGAAAGTTACGTAACTTGGCCAAGATCACCTAGCTAAGAAGGGGTGGAGCAGGCTGATCCTTGAGTCCATCATATTAACAGCT